AGAATGGAGTGGGGTTACTCAATAATAAGGGCTTATACTCCGATTTTGCTACAAGTATACCAAATACGAGTTTATCTGCAGAATTTATTTATTTATTTATTAACGTGTAATAATAATTTTTAAGTGAAAGTCTTACTTTAAATATCATCACAAATGAGTAAAAATTTATAGCTTAAATATTACAAACATAATATAATGTACTATTTTTAGATAATAAATTATAATTAGGAGTTCTATTTGGATCTCAGATTATTTAGGTTAATCAATATAACAAATTTCGAACCTTTTTATAGAAACAAAGGACGGGTACTTACAATTAATACATGATATTTAAGTATTCTACAGTCTTCGTATGAAATTTTTAAAAACAACAATACATGTTAGGTAATAATAAAATGATTGATTTATTCTTTGAATGTCTAGCATTTACGAAATAGGGTCAAAGTTCTTTGAATGTTTTATCAATATTTTATTCGCATAAAACGTAAAGGGATCTAGAGAACAGATTTGTATGGTGATTTTTTATTTATATCCTGCAGCTGAAACAAACTGAAGCCTTCTAAAGGATCTTTAAACAAATCCCAGTTCTAAAATAGTATCAGGAAACCGTATAAATGGAAGAACTTCTGTAATTCTTAAAAATGACGCGTAACGCTGAATTCACATCGTTTTGACGGACGATGGAGGGACGAAGTTGGATAATATGAATTCACCGTAAGATATTCATACCTGCCCTTTTACACAGTAAAATTAATCAAATCATAAAATATACAGGGTGATATTCAGAAAATATAAAATGTCAGAGAAAGGCAGAATTGTTGCAAGTTTGCTTTGTAAACCCCTGTAAAATTACTAAAGGACTAGATGTGTTAAAGTTAAACAAAATTATATAAAAGGATACACTTCTCATAAAAGGCTAAAAGCACATTCATGCCAGCTTAATATTTATTCCTAATTCTGAATCTTTGAAATTTTTAAGCAATCAATCAGTTCTTGTTGTATTACTCTGAGTGTTATGCAGTATTAGTTATCAAACATAAAGTATTTAAAAAATTACTTAGACACGTCGATTAGTATTAAAATATGCGCATTTTTTAACAAAAAAAAAAATATACATTTATATAGATTTAAATTGGTATTTTAGTAGGAATCAAAAAAAATATAGTAAATAAATATGACAAGACTAAAGTACGGTTCATTCCTATAGAAAATGCTGGCTTACATTGTCAGTAATGAAGGTTGTTACAAGTGCCATTTTAACGATATTCATTCCAAAATAGTAACTTGTTACCAAATTAATTAATTTATAGTACATTTTTTAAAATTACTACAATTGTAACAGAAATAATCTTCATATTTGCTGTATCTTGCTAGCGACTAGGAAATCATTGGTGACATCATATGTTCTAATTGGGACACACTGGATATATTTTTTTGAGCAAAAAGTATATAACTTGTATTGTTAATAAAAAATCCAAACATTTTTATGTTTGATATACTGAATTTATTTCAAGTTAGTGGCCCGCACTTTATTTTAAAGTATTACTAGTAGTCACAGCACAATAGTCAATTCGATTTGTCCGTTTTTTTTATAAAATTTATTAAATTCGAGAAGTATTTATTGTATGAAATAGGTAAATGTTACATCAAGAACTATCAACAGGATCAACAAACCTGTATAGAGGCACAAAAAAATTGTCTGTTCACAGGTGAGACCTATGCCTTCCTATGTATTTCCATTTCCCGAAACTGAAGCCGCTAAGAAAAATACTACATCACTTTCCAGTTTTCTTTTTAATTCCGTTTTAAAATCATCTTTAAAACCAAAACCGCAGCCAAAAATCTGCATTCACTTCTGAAGGAAAGAGCTATATTGCTCTTCAACATCAAGAAGTTTTAACCAAAGATGTTTCAATCATCTCGGATTAGCCATTGACAACTGCCAAAGAAGCCACACACTGCTTTCAGAGATTTCAGGCATACCATGATTGCAGATAGACTCTTTTGCAGGGCCACATTTATAGATCCACTAAATGTAAAGTTGTAGCAAGAACTGCAGGGCTACTGAACTATAGAATTTTGTTTTCATCAATTCTGATTCAGGGTCTATTAAATAAGTTCATTGTACCCACTTGTCTACCGTGTAGGGCACGTGAATCTGTAATTAGGTTGTAAATTTATGATTTGAGTTTGCGACTTGAATCCGCCGAATGTAGAATTCTACTTGTTTTTTAGGTTTTGCAGGTGCTTTCTGGTGTTCACTGAAATGATGTAAGTGTTCAATTTTCGCTGTTTTTAGGGGTAGTAAAACAAACTGACGGTTTGATTCAAATATATAATGCTGGAACAGACTACTCTCTTTTAATGTAGCTGTGTTATGTTTTTTTTGAAATAATATTTTATTAACATTAAGTTCTTCAGAAGAATAATAATAAATATATAAAGAATAATAAATAGTTATAAGTGCCAAAGCCAGCAGAATAAAAACCCGATGGGTTCAAATCTGGAGAACATGGAGGTTAAACGATAGAATGTTTACATTTTATGCATATATTTTGATTTGTTCAATTAGGCATCAAAATTGAATACTTTTTTAATTTCTTTTTATCTGACATTATTCTTCTAAAATATTAAACGTTAAAATAACAAAATTTCAGAAAATATACTTTTTTCTATCGCACTCTTGTTAGTTCATGGTTTCAGTTATTTTACACCCATATATTAATAATTTTCGTTAAAAATATCTCTAGTATTAAATTGCCCATTCTGCTAAGACTGTATGTCATTATTACCTTTGAAGTAATACAACTAAAAAATGGTACACATAATCAACAAAGAGATATTCTCTTGGGTAAGAATATGTGAGAATTCAGAATTCAGAATAAGATTGAAATTATTTTCACTGGAATAAAAATTATAGGGTGTAATAAATCAATATGACCACTCTTACAGCACTAGAAGAAAAGATATACTCAAACTTTCATTCATAATTAAAAATATTGGTCGGAACTATAACCTTTTTAACTCCAGTCTTCATTGCTTGACGTGTATCTACTGAATTATTTAATTATTTATATCAAATTTATTCGTAGAGAATGGTATGCAATAAAATATTTTTTTGCAACAATAGAAGTGTGTTATACCTGCAAAAAAATCAATAACGTGACTAAGGAAACATAAAAAAAATAAAGAAAATTAAAGAAAATGATGATTTCTCGAGACCACAGCGTTTGAAACAACGAAAATTTAATTCCAATTAATATTGTTTTACATAATTCTAAAAGGCATAAAAATAAAAAAGTAAAGATATTTCAATATATCTTAAATATCCAATCAGCTACAACTGGTTTTTGGGCATCATTGAATAAATTACAGAATGGCCTAATTAATTAATTGTTCACATTCAACATCAAAATGGCTCACCTGGTATATTTATATTTATTGTACGTGTATATAGGGTTAATCACACAATATTCTCACCCCTTATGATTTATTGATTATATGATTTCGAATTTAGCAAAAAAATTGTATGATCTATATAGCTGCGTTTTCTCTAAGTAGAAGACATTCTACATTTTTACGTATTTGACTATAGAACGCTAGCACCGGGTTATAAGATCTACCATCTGATAATAAGGTAGATGTGGTCAGAAGACTATGCTAATAATAAAGTACATATTTAGATTCTTTTGAACATGTTTCTCTTATTATTAGAGATGGATCTGTTAAAGTATATAGGGAAACTGTCTATCAATATTATAAAGGATTTTATTTCAGAAAAATATATAAGTTTGGTTTGTATTTCCAAAATACAACATTCAGTTGTTTTTCTAACTACAATTTTTAAATCACAAGAAAATTTTTAACAATTTTGGGGGGCACAATGTTATGAATCCTGTACAACGTGATCCATAATTCTCTCTTTATTGCGAGTTCTTTGCTACTAAGATATTTGAATGCGACAGAGAAAGCAAAAAGTCCTGCGGAATCAGGAGATGCAATCTGAAAAACAATTGAATATTATTTTAAAAAGTTGCAGCCGAAAAACTGATGTTTTGAGAAAATAATTTCATTACTGCTTATTTTTGACAAACCTCGTATATTCTGATTGTAACGGATAGAATTTTTAATTACGAATCTAGCCATACGCAATATATCATATTTTTATCATTTTGTAAGGGAAATAATCGAAAAAATAAAAGTCCTATACATAAATAAACGCATACTTACTGGAATTAGCAAACTTTGGAATACTGAAATAATTATATTATTGTTTAAAGAAAGTAAGACTCTCAAAGCGCCTCTAGATAGATTCCATCAAGTAACAATTGTTTTTCAGAGCACACTTTCCAAAATTATGAAATTGCGCTTATCTTAAACATAAGCATATTTTTTTTGTTGATAAAATATCAAAGTATGGTATATTATATATTTTTTGAATCGTAATCAAAAGTGTTATCTGGAGCAACTAAAATATACGAAATTACTAAAAAATATTTATTGTTGAGATTAATTTCCTGAGAAACCGGAAGTTGAACAAATGGATGACTCTTATCGAAAAGATTTGTAATATGATCTTATATCATTTTCTACAAAAATAAATGCAGCATATTTTTTTGGAAGAAATTCGGGTTTTTACTACATTTTATTAAATTCAATTGTTCTTATCATTGCATATTCTGATATCGCACGAGTTTTACATATTTCATTCGAGTTTCTTAATAGAGTAAATTGCAATAAAAAGGGAATTATGTATCATCCTCTACATACAACTTGTATGCATGTATTTATTTGTAAATTGTATACATATGCGTTTTAAACCACTGGCACTGTTGTAAAAAATAGATGTGCCAAACGTTTATTTAAAATTTATTTACAATTTTATTACCTTCCAAACAAGTGCATATTACCAAGAATTTTTATTTATTTGCATACGTTTCTGTATTTATTTATTATTTCAAAGAATAATTATTTATTGAATATAAAAAAATGTCACTAACCTGCCAGCCTTGCAGAAGTAGACTTCTGTCGACAGTCCGGAGCCACATAACGGCATCGCCGGCCTGAAAATCCCTTAATTTATAACACTTGGTGTGAAGGAACATCCCTAAACATTTAAGCAGTTCGGAGGTGGAAGCTTGGATTACAGTCTTCTTAGGTGCGGCCACTGGCACGACCTGGTTTTGGGAGTTGATGGAATTTTGACTCAAGAGTGCCTGCTTATTACCTACTTTATCGCAGTTTATGTGGTGGTTGGTGTTGTTGTTAGCGTTATTAACTCTAACGATGTCTAAGGCTAGCGCAGACGTGCTCTTCGAGTTCGAGTAGTACGAGCCGGTCTTGTTTTGGTGTATGTTTTTGTTTTTATCCACCACCGGGTGTATATTGTCAACTAGGGGCTGTCGGAACACTGTTATATTCTTGTTCTTGTTGTTGTCCATCTTCTTTTTGTTGTTGTTCGTCGTGGAGAACCTCTTCCATGACAACGCGTTTATGAAGAGCGAGTGCTTCTTCAGGTTCTTCTCCAAGGCGTTCTTCTCGGAGATGATCCTCGCGTTGTCATTGTTGTTGATGTTGTTGCAGTTGTTCAGGTTGTGGTTATTGGAGTTAGTGATGCTGACGTTTGTTTTGCTTTCGCGGTTCTTCACGTTGTTCAGCTGCTCGTAGGAGAAGTTGTTGAGGGTGAAGTCGCCCGTCGAGCTAGTCGTGTACACGGGCCTGCGTTCCCGCGGCGAAAAACTCAGCACCGTGCCCATTTCCGTTGTTGTTTTGGACCTCTAACACATCTTACCACTGGAACTTGGTTGCACCGAGCTCCTCGGCTGCAATGCTGGCCCAGGGGTCGATCTTTCGGCGCGCCACAGGCGCCGGCGCTACGTCTCCTAGCAACCCCATGATGTCATAAGAAATCAATATCGCCACCCTCTGATAGGCGGGAATGTTTTTACGTGATCACCCCCCGTGCGAAGGCATTCACATTTGCACTTGTCGCGTGTTTTCCTGTACAGGGCGATTCGAGGGAGCGCGGCGTCGATTGCGTCCAAAAATTCGAACTGAGTTGTAAAAATGGAGAATATTTTATTTTTTTGCAATGCAGTGACTTCATTTTCCGTGGAGTTGCTCTCCACATTTAAAGTTTTAAACAACTGTAAGGAAAAATCTCATAAAAACGTCAAATTCTACCGTCAAACACCAGACGAGTAAAAAAATCTCTTTAATCAATTTTTCATTATTTTCTTCAAAATGCGTCATACCAATTCCAGAGAAGACATGTCAATTATTTCTTATGAAATACTTTTATATGTTTGCATCCTGCTGATAGAAAGGTTCCTTAAATGTACAGTAAATAGTAAACGGCAAGACAAATAGAATGTTTCATTGTATGTCAAGTAACAAAAAATTATTTTTTAGATTAAATTCGAAAATAATGGCAAGTCATTGTTGGTCAATAGTGATCGCCGAAGGTATCATATGTTCTCGGTTAGTCAATATTAGAGGTCATTAAAGGCAACAGTTGTTCAACTGTTGGTCATTAGTGGCCACCAAAGGTAAAAGGCGGTGATTGAAGATCAACAGTGGTCACGAAGGGTAATAGACGGTCTTGGGTGGTCAATAATAGTCCTCGATGGTAACGGAATAACCAACCTGACCTTAAAATGACCGGAGGATAAGGAATTTGAGGTCAGGACGGGGTCAAATCCAAGCTCACCAGTTTAGTGCTCATCAAGAATCATAGAACTATTGTGAAGAGCATTATTCTGCCATTCCGGTACTGTTGGAACACTTTGTGACTTTTTGATATTTGACCTTGATCTTGACCTTCGTGGTCAATTCAGGGTCATATCCGAACGAAAAATTTTCCGCTCTCTCCATTTCCGGGGTCAAAATTATGAGGTCCCTTTCAAAAAAATTATCGTGACCTTGATATGACCTTGAAGGTCATGGTCCAGGTCAAATTCAAGCCCACCACCGGATAGCCAGGGAAAAATCCAAAACCCCTAGTGTTTACTTTTACTCTATCCCTTCAATATTCCCAGATATCCCGCCATTCCGTTACTTTTGGACCAACCTGTATAATATAAAAACTTCATTAATAGCTGTTTTACATTGACAATTTATTGATCAATTAATTCATGAAGTCGCTTCATCAAGAAATTGGACAAGTGTAATGCACCAAATCTGCTGTTAAATAACTTCATGAATTTATTCATCAAGTTCTTGACGAATTAGAGCATGTTCTAATTTTCGTCAATTTCTTCGTGAAGTTTGGAAGTACCAACCCAACAGATTTCCAGCCTCATCAGTAATGAGGTTATGTTATTGGAATATGTAAATAACTGTGTGGCGTCGTGCTAGTTTTGCATTGTTTTTACTGATTTGTTACTTACAAAAACTTATATTTAGGTATATAATATGTGTAGGAACGGTACCGCTGTTGTATCACTACAATTATGAATGGAAAGGTGACATTTTTGAAATTTATTTGCTTCTTTGATTCATTGGTAGAACTGATTCATATGTCAAAAAAACTTGACAAAGTCTGTAGCAGTGTAAAACCACACTGTTTACCAATAAATTCGTGAATTAATTCATGAAGAACTTCGTCAATTTATTCATAAATAAATTGGCAACGTAAAACAGCTATTAGTAATTATCTTTACCAGACCTAAGTAAAATTTTTGCGGGGCACGTATCTGCCCTATTATTACGAATCTCCTGTCTTTGTCACTTCTATTGCGGACTGCTTTCTTGATCTGCGCAAATATAACAGGTGTACCTACCTGTAAGAAAAAGAAGTTGATAATTTTATCACTGGAGTGCTATGTTCAAATGTTTTTCTTTTGATCAAATGAACTGAATTCCTTTGAAGAACTACTTAATAAAAATATATTTAAGTCTTCGGCACCTTCAAAGGCAACAAAGTTATAGTCTAACATTTTCGCGTCATGACCAAGATAATATGAATAGACAATATTTGTAAAAATTATATAATGAATTATATAATATTTAATATTTATAATATTTATTCTATTATTTATCAATATTAATTTTATAATATTTAATCCAATATTTATATACGAATGTAACTGTCATTTTGTATGTTTTTCATACACCTAATCAAAATTTGAACCCAAAAATTGTTAAAAAAATTAAATGTAAAGAGTACTACAAAAAATAAGAAAAAGTTTGTTTAAACATATGCTCCGTTTTTTAAGATACATCGAGTTAAAATTAAAATTAAATCATGTTATAATTTTACATCTTTCAAATAGGTCAAGCTTGGTAGGTAGATATTAGATATTTCAGATTCAGGATTATCGTAAGCCTGTATTGATTTATTTTAATAATAAATTACACTGAAAATGCACAGGACGATACACTTACGAAGAAACACGCCTTCGTAACTGTAAACACAACATGCACTGCGAGCTGCTGCGATGAACGCCACGCCGCCAATGTCTACCTCGGGTCTCGAATACGGTTAATTCCAAGAAAGTGACGCAGGAGTCTTGTCATATTTGTCTACAGTGCATATATACGGATCTCAACTGATAATGATATTGTGGGAAACAACTCTACGGCCTATACACCAAGGCTGACATTAAATCACACCCCTAATTTCTAGTTATTTACTGCTGATCATTCATCAGCAGTGTCACGAGGAGTTCTCGTCAGTGTGTTAAATGCTGTTGCAAAAATTTATATAAGATTCCACTGCCAAAAATAAATTGAAAAATAATTATTATAAATTAACTATTTCAGGAGTATAAAGAATTATCATGCAATAAAATATAAATAAGCACCTAAGTCTGTTACTACGTCAGTGTAAATGATTCTCTGATTCAATATATTCCAGTTTATTTAGTTCACTGTATTGCTCAACTCTATCAAGATATTTCTATTAAGAGATCTTTTCCAGAGACGAGAAATGTGTAATTAATAAAAAAAAATCTCCATATATTTTTATCGTCCACGTGCAATATTATAGTTAGCAAGACATAAAGTGATTTTATGATTAGTATTAGCTAATGGTCACGTGTTTAATTTAAGATAATAAACCAATATTTAAAACGACGATAAATGTGGCACTCTTAATACATAACTGTCTACTATTTTATTAAAAAAATATTACTGCAACTCCTAAAAACAGGCGTTTCGGGGGTTACGAATTATTTTTTTATTTTCTTTTGATAAAGGAATGTTTTCTTAAAGTTGTCATGAATACCCTGAACATTTATTTCAATATGATTCAAACATGAATCTACAGTTGTTATCAGTTTACAACAAAAAATATTAATAAGAAGGGGAAGACAAATTAAAAAAATTGAGTTTGAATAAACTGGCGTGCATTATTTGTTGTATGGAAATACAGTTTTCTACTAAAATACGCATGTTTATTTTCAATTTGATTCTTTTACGAGTACAATTAAGCAAAAAAACTATTAATAACATATTTTAAGCAGTAAACTGTGCCGCCGTTTCCTACTGATAACTTGAGTCATTGATGTATTTTATAAGTTACAACCAGTGATTTTTTATTCTTAGAAAAAGAAGGAATTGTATATAGTGAAGAAAAACCCCTCATCAAATGCATTTTAATTTACATGAAGCAGTTGGGGTACCGTACAATAAAAACAACCCTAACTCCATCCCCATCTTATGCGAATGCTTAAAACATGTCGAAAAGGGGGTTAATTTCTCATTAATTTTAATCAAGTACAAATGCTTACGGAATATTCTTGACCTTTGTACTTTATCCTCCTAATGAAAAATTTCTGATGACGTAATCAAAGAGTTTGGTGTTTTAAGTCAATAGTATACCTAATATTATCAAACGAGTTGTACATTTTCTAAAACAATATTTTTATGGCTTCTTATAGCATATTTAGTTAACTCTCATAACATTATTTAGTTCAGACAATTTATTACTTATGCAAATAAGTAACCAATGTTAATTGCCGTTTCTTAATTATGGCAAGAGTAAACAAATAATATTTACTACCTTAATGCTCATTTGAGTAACTACGTAAATAAATAGTAGGATATTTGCCTCTTTGATCAACACTAGAAAATATTTTTAAACACTGAAACATTTATTTGATTTTCTAATTGACAACTGTTTAAATTCCAGGAAATTATTTTTCCAGTTATTTTTTTAACACTTTAACGTCTGTATAAACTGAACACTTCTAATAAAAATCCATTAATTTAATTTAAACACATTCCGCATATGGAATTAAACAGCGAATAAGTTAAAGATGTACATTGTGTCCCAAAATGATGGAGCAAAATTCATATTTTTTTCCAGTTCAGATTTTAAAAAATCACTGAAATAGGTCAATTAGTAAATAGAAATTCACTTTTCTGCGATATTTTCTATTTTTTTGAGCCATGTTTGACAGACCTATAACATTAGCAACATTTTTTAATAGAACGCTCTATATTTTATAGTGTAAATAGATAGCCCATCTGAAGATGAATTCGGCGATATAAGGTTATACATATTTTTTTGTCACAGTTGTCAGAAAAATGGAAAAAATTGTCTTTTATGTCGTACTGGCGACTATTTCAAACAATCCTAGTCTCTTCTGTACTTTAAAAAACGTACCAACTTTTTATTAATCTTTTTCTACTTACTTTAAAGCTTTTTTCTCAAAAAAAAAACACATCGATAAACACCTAAAATTCACCAGAGTACTTTAGGTTGCCCGTTTAAGCGAAAAGCAGAGAATTGAAATTTTAATTATGATTAAAT